AATTCATTATGCATCCGGTCACATTAATGTAGTTATTTCCCGATGATTCACAGGAATGCTTTTGTTTTTTTTTTTTTTTTTTTTTTTTTAATAATATACAGTATATACATTATCACGATTTCTAACGGGGGTATTTTTTGTGAGTCTTGAGTTGAAATAATTCACTCTTCTTTCTTTCTTTTTTTTTATTTTTTAATTAATTAAATATAAAAAAATTTTCACAAATATTTATTCTAATGTACTATATAAGTTTTGAAAAAAAAATTTTTTTTTTAATGATGTTAAATTTGTGAAGGTATTTGTTTTAACGCAACACAATGTACGTGACACAAATACTTCCCTAAATGCCACTCGCTGTTGGTGAAACGCTCAATGTTATTATCAGTTTCTATTAATGTAAAGTATGCATGTTTATCAAGGATTGGCATATTACTTGTCCCAATTATGATACTTCTTATTTACGTAATAGGAAAAATCAACAGGATAAATTTGAGTTTCCGTCCATCCAAGCTACATCACAAATATCAAGTCACCAAAAAATCATTTTCGTCTTCTTTAGATATTGGTCTCATATATGAATGATATTAATATGTAAGAGTTAAGTGTTATTTGGAAGCCTATTTTATGACATTAATTTTAAATACTGTATAATTTACAAGAACTCAAACATGTAGGTCGTGGCATCACATGGTCCATGAGTAAACCATCGCTTCGTGTTGTAGTTAAGGAAAAGACATCTGTTCAAAATGTCTATTTCCATTCGCCTTTTATATCTTGGATAATAAATAAGCAGGTGAGGTGAATTGATCTGAAAATTAAATTAAGTAAAATGAATTTCAAAGTTTGGCGGAGTTCCAAATTGGGCACAACTTCTGCGAAATGAGAAATCAGAGATTCGCTAAAGATCTTAAGGTACAAAATAGTAAAGCTTCGTTTTTTTAAGACAAGACCATCAGTAAAAAAATTTCTAGCAACCATATTTTATAGATCTCAAAGTTGAATCGCGACATTATTTATATTTTTTATTATTCTATCTCACCTAAATAGAAAATTTTTTTATTGTTAAGTAAGTTAACGATTTCATATTTCTATTGTAGAAATCACGAAATTTTTTGCAAAAAAAAAAAAAAAGAAAGAAAGAAAGAAAGAAAGGAAAAGAAAAGAAATTCACGGAATGTTTGGATTAGAATAAAGAACTTTTCCCAATTGAACCAATTAAATAATGTTAGAGTGAAGTTATTATTGGGAATGAACGAGGGTAGATTCAATTTATTATGCCATTTTCGCTTACTCTAGTTCCGGATTATAACGTTCATTTAAGGAACCAATTCTATCAATATTTTGTTGGGGTCGAATCACGCAAGAATTTTTAAAGAAACGAAAGGGGAATGCTCATTGATGATCTTAAAAAATTAATGTACAATATTTCTAAATCACTTTGAACATTCAATGATTTTTGCTGAGGAAGTGTTCTTTTTTATTATGTTTTTTGTTAGCAGCGTCACGTTATATTTAGAAAGATATGTAATTATGATTTCATCGGTCAATATGATCTAAGCAGACAAACATACGGTATATACAGAAGATATGAAAGATATTATTTGACATATTTGTACCTTTATTAGAATGACCGTAATTTATGCTTTCGCGCGCACCGTGAGTTTTCTAGTAATAAACTATTAGGTGAATAAAAAATATCGTTGACTGCGTCCACTTTGGATACACTGAGTCATGGTAAATTGCTAAAAAAAAAAAAATAATAATAGTAAAAAAAATTTTTTTTTTTTTGAGGAAAGTACTTTGACATTTGATCTTTCGACACAGTTCAAAGTGCTTACTGAAGCTTTTTTCTTTGCTATTTTGTTTTCTTTTGTTTTTTTTTCTTTGGCGATTAAAGATCTTAATTAAATAACTTTGCAAAATAACCCGATTGTTATGTAATAAATCAATCACACTGATTCTGGAAGCATAAAATTATTTTTAACAAAACTGTGAAGAGAAAGAATCGGAATTGGAGAAAACATGAGAGGATAAAAAAAACCGAGAGGCTCTATCGTAAATATGCCTTGTTTGATTACACACGCTAACCAATTACATAACTCTGCGCCGAAAGGGTAGTCGCCACGGACACACAGTTCTCAGATGATCATTAAAATTGATCAGGCGAGCGTTGCGTAGAATTCCGGACAAAATTATTAGACCCTAGTACAATATCACTCGCTCACTGACATAATCTGTGCGTAAATATAAAACGAAAAACAGTCCCTGTTCGAATTCTTTTCTTCATCATTATCAGAAAGGCATAATAGTTTGTCATAAATTTTCTTTAAAAAGATGCACGTGTGTGTTCTTCATGCTTTTTTTTGGATAATAGAAATTCTAATTTTAATAGTTCGAAAATTTTTTGTGGAATTTTGGTTCCGGAAATCATCCTTACTTTATTCATCATTTTTCCTGTTTCCTTTTTCGCCTTTCAAAGATCTTAATATCGGAAAAGTCACACGTGATTTGTATAACATTATTCGAGAAACTAATATATAAAGGTCCGCTTCGATAGACTCGAAATGCATTCCTTTGTTAGATATGGAGTTCAAATTTTCGATTCAGCCTTCTTCATCACTCATTCATGAGCCTTCACAACCTAAAATGCTCTCTGAAAATCTGAGATACGACTTTAAGATAAACAATTATTCATCATGCGTTGTCTCCAAGGACCCACGACCTAAAAGGCCCCTTAGAAAGAATAAAGATCCGAATTTTATCCCTGTACGCATTCAAATGCCAAGCGCATCTGAAATAAAAATCGAAGAATTTATCAACCGTTCAAATGAAAAAATCGGGAAGAAAGGCCCCAACGGCTTCTTTGTGTACCGCCGTGTGTTTGCGAAGGAGCTTTTACGACTTAATTATAAGCTAGAAATGACCAACGTTTCGAGGATGGCAGGAGATCAATGGAACAACGAAGATGTTAAGATTCGCGAAGAATATAAGACAATTGCTTCAATGATCGATAAAAAACTTAAAGAACTTAGGCGCGGACAGCCAAAAGCCTATCACTATAGATTTATCTATTATGACCAACAGGAACCTCCTTCTCCTCCTCCCATAGAACCCATTCAACAGTGTGTTATTGATGAAGAATTGTCGAGGTGCCTGTACGAATGGTACTCTAAAGATAATCTGTTTGATGAATTCTTTGGAAATTTCTATTAATTTCGATTCCAGTTATTCAACTTTCTCCCCGTAAAGTAACGCCTATTACTTCATTACGTACTATAACATAGAATAAAATTAAGATATAATTCGTATGAAAATAAAAATTTTAAACCAATCATAAGTACATCCTTATCCTAAAATATTAATTGTTCCGATTAAAAAGTAAGAATGTATTAGGCATGTTTGTGCACCAATCATTTCTCAATAAATCATGTGCGTTAAAGGATTTAAATAAAATAATCTTATTATTATTATTTCGTTAATAGGTTAAACACTGACATTTGAAATAAAATTAAATAAATTTGAAAATGAATATTTCGAAAAATAATTTTAATAATCATTTTTTGCTTTTGTTTTAAAAAACCTGGTTACGCATATGCGAGAAGCTCACCAAATCGCATTCACCCGTTTTAGTCGAGTAGCACCAGGATATTGAAGAACTTGTAAACAAATACTTGGCGAACGCTTAAATTATAACCATCTACTGTAAATATTATGCTTGATTTTTATTCTAATTAAAATATGTTCGCTTAAAAAATGTAATGTGAATATTTTAGCCAATAATATTATTTTTAAAACATTTTTATACAATATATCGAGTTATTGTATATTAAAGTTATAAGTTATATATTAATTTTATGACAAAAATATAAAATTCCAATTAATTTACATGAATATCAAATTAGAATGCTGTATGTTGTGTAAAGCATACATTTATCAAATTTTAATTCAATTAATTAAATAAAGAAACTAATCGATAAAGAAACCAATCGATAAAAAACCTTACTGATAAAAGAATTACAAAAATTTATTTTAGTATTTTATAATTTAATATTTATTTTTTCTAATTCAAAAAACTCGAATTAAATAATATTTAATAATATATTTTAAACTCAAATTAAATAAATAACCTTTTTTATTATTATATTATAAATATACAGTATATTCGGTATTTATTTATTTATTTGATTTTATTAATTAATTATTAAGTCATAAATAAAAATATAAACTTGATTATTTTGGTTTTTTCAAATTAAACTATAAACTATAAAATAATCATGCTTAAATTTATCATATCCTTATTTTACAATCTAATTTAATTTATATGCATAAATTTTTATAAAATTAGTTATATTATAAAAAATATAATTCTTATTATTTTCTATCGTGGCAAGTTAAAAAAACTTTATAACTACTAAGAATAAAATAAAATTTATACTTATAACTAATAAAGGAATAATTTAATAAATATTGCAAATAATATAATTTTTGTTAACTCTATTTTTAATAAATTATAAATTTTTTGAAATTGTGTTTTTTTTTTATAAATTAATATATAATTTAAAATCAAATTTTAATATAAAAATAAATAACAAAAATTTCTGAAGTTGTATTTAAAGTTTTGAATAAAAACTTTGACAAGTGAGTTAGTTAGAAATTTAATTTTAATGTCATATATACAATAGTGAACAAAAAATTATATTTTTTTAAATATATATATATTTTTAAAGCTGGCGAAGTCATGCCATATAGTTTTTATTTAATCATTTGTACTTTCTTTTATACACGAATTTAATTGTGAGAAAATTCATTTATAATAGGAAAAAAACTACTGACTCGGTATCTTACTGAACCCTACAACTCACTGCAGTTTACCTATCGGTGAATGTTAGCGTGTTATGACTCCACTAACACTGAAATTTAATAAAAAATTTGTATTGATCAAGTACCCATTTCCCAGGATCTCTTTCATAGCATGGTTAGTTAACTCTATATATAGTTGTCTATTAATATTTTGCGGTCCTTCTTTCTTTTGTGTATTTTTACTTGTTTAATAGTATTTGTTTTTCATTCGTTCTCTTTTCTTCTTCTTGGTAATCTCTTGTGTTTTTTCCCATTCTATCATTATATTGCATCGCAGTTTTCAGACTTCTTTTTTTTCTTGCCAGAACCAGGCTGTTGCTGTCTTTATGGCTGCTATTACTGTTTCCTCGTTGTCTGTGATTTTCACTGCAGTTTGCTTCATATTGTACATAATAGCTCTTCTGATGATATCTGTCTATTCTATATCATTTGATTCCCTTATTCCATTTGCTTTTGTTATCAGTTGGAGTGAACATTTCCATTTTTTGTGGATTGATTCATCTTGCTTTTGGCCATTAACCCTGGTTGCACACTCTTCTATGAGAAAGAAATTGTACTTTTCCATGAGTCTTGTCTTGTTAGGTCCACATGTGAGAGGATGAAGACCTTTTTCTTCTTGTTTTTTGCAGATAATACAGGTTGGATCTTTATAAAGATGTGATCTTCATATATGCAGGTTCGCCATTGTGGAAAGTTTATTTAACTAGGTCTTCAGTCTGAAGAATCTATTTTTACAGTCATCCTGGTCTGTTTATAAAGATATGATTTTGGATGGTGATAATGTTTATAGTATTATATTCCAGTCTATCTTCTTGGACTTGAAGCTAGTGAGCTATTCTTGTGTCTGTCTCAGTGTTCTACATTTGCTTGTCCATTTGATTTTTAGAAGTGTCTTCCCTAATGTACTAAAGAGGAGGTCTATAAAGGTTTGGTTCCATCTAAGTAATGTCATGTCACTTGTTGAGTTTACTTCGTGTATCCTAATTATGTCCTTGGGTTTGTCTACCAGTGTGGTTGCTACTAGTTTGTCTGCTAGTTCATTTTCTTGGTTACTTGAATGACTTTCAATTTTTGCCCACTTGACCTCAATTCTTTGCATGAATATGATCTCTATAATTGTATTGATCAGGCATTTATTTGAATTCTTCATTGTTCTGTTTCTAGTGTTACCTGTCTTGGATAGCTTTTTATTCTATTAATTGTACTTTAACTATCTGTAATGATATTGATTTTCTTTTCTGCACCAACTGTACTGATCGTTGTTTATATTACTATTAGTTCAGTTCTGGTGGATGATAGGATGTTTCTAGTCTCTGCTTAGAAGGTGATGATATCCGTTCCTGACTCTGTCTGGATTAACCATCCTATTTCCATTTTGCTGTTGATATGTCACCTGGTGAAGGAGCCATCTATGTATATTTATAGATTATTCCAGGGAGCAATTTCTTGTGTGATTTGTTGTAGTCTCATTATTGTTCTGAATGGGGCCCTTAATTTCTTCTGGATTATGTTCTTTGTGATTTATTTGGAATCCAAGTATACAGTTGGTGGGGTTGTATTGGGTGGTTGTTTGCAGTTGATCTCTCTCAGTGTATTTTTGATCCCTTAAGGGGATGACTAAAGTCTGTTCGTTCTAGGTTGACTTGTGTCTATCTCTTGTGTTTTTGTGATGCATCCCCTGATGCTCTTTGAGACTCTGATGTTTACTGAGTTCCTGAGTAGTTGCATCATTATACATTGCTATTGGTCCTTGTATCATTTTCTCAGTTCTATGTCATTAAAGGGATAACCTTTGCATTTAAATACTGGTGATGACTTATCATTTCTAATCATGTATGTAGCTAGAATAGCCTGGTTATTTATGACCTTCTTTTTCTTCATTATTATTGTTGCTGTGCCCTTCTTGGTTGCCAGCCATTTAATTGTTGACTGTTGTTGATGTGGGTATACCAGTATATTGGAACGGAAATTGTTAAAGTATGGATTATTGTCCTTGTCCTCTCTAATGGGTATTGATTCTTCTGTGTCTCTCTCCTGTAGGGTTCCTAATTTGGTTGACAGTTCTTTCAATTCTCTATACTAGAGGGGGTACAACCTTGTTTTCTCAATCTGACATGTACTTGTTACCAGGAAAGGAATCTTGTTTTGTTGTCATTGAGGAGTTGGTCAAAGAATAAGATTTTCCTGCGTCTAAGAGAGTTTCTGTGCTTGTGATACTATTCCTCTGTGACCATTTACTTGATAGTCTTCCCTTTCTTCAGAATAGCTTTCCCAAACCATATGTGTTCAGTTGAAGCCAATGTGGTTCCCTGACATTTCAGCATGTTTAATATGTCATTTGTCAAGTTCTTTCTTCTTTGAGTCCAGAAGGAAAATCTGTCCATTATGATAGATATATTGGACCAATATTCATTCTATAGTTGCTATAGTCTGATTTTGGTTGTTCTTCCTCCCAGGTTATAACTGTTCAATCTATAGAGCAGGTTTTTTCTATGCATAAGGATCTATCTGTCCCATAAGCTGAAGAGCTTGTAACCAAAGTCACAAAGGATGATACAGTTTGGTATTGTTGTGACTAGTCCTGCTTTATGTTTAAAAACTTTATTTATCTTACTGCCCAGTCTGTTGCATTCTTCTTTTGTTAGGACCATGTCATTTAAGAGATATTCGATTGCTGGGAAGAGGGCATGGTTAATAATGTATCTTGTTTATTTGTCTGTGATCTTTTTCCATGCCAGGATTCTGGTTGTCATCTCAATCTTCTCTTTGATAATATTTTTCTGGTTTGCTTTCTTTCCATCTTCTGAAATCCATACTTCTAAGATCCTCATTACTTCATTACTTTGTAATGGCAATACCTGTGTTCCACTTATCATGATTCCCTTTTCTCTGTATTTTTTGCTTGCATTAAGGCAGACCAATAAGGATTTCTCACCATTAACTTGTATATCATTGATTCTTAAGAATTCTGCTGCCTTGTCTATAATGTTTTGCATACCAGCTTGGCTGCTCGCAAACCATGTGTTGTCATCCATATAGGCAGTTGCCATAATGTGTGCCTGCTTTACTTGTATACTTGCTATTTTCTCCTGATTTGGTGATGTGAGATCTAATAATACTTTTGTTCCCATGGTGTAGCCCATGTGTTTGTCCTCAATTTCTTGTAGTAGAGGATCATAAAAGATTCTCCATAATAATGGGAAAATAGTGTCACTCTGATCGATTCCATCTTGTATAGGGTATTCTTCAGTGAGACCATATGTTGTGATTAACCTGTTGTTTCTGTCCACTAGTATATTGTTCAGAATTTCAATTATCTTTTCTGGTATGTGGATTTTTCTGAGAGCACGAATTATTATATTCCTGTTAATTGAGTTGAATGTTTTGCTGATGTCTTGGCTGAAGATCCAGGCCTCCTTTCTGAACTCTCTAGCTTCTTCCATAATATTATTCAGGATATGAATTGGTTCTTGAGTGCTTCCTTCCGGGAGTCCTGCCCAATTATTGATGTATAATATTCTGTGTTTATTGCATACTTCTACTATCCTTTCTGATATAATGCTCATAAACACTTTTCTTGTTGTTTCTAATAGAGTGATGGGCTGTGTTATGTTTATGTCACCTAGCCAGTCTTGCAATTTGGAAATTGGATACACATTTACTTTTCTCCAATCCTGCGGAATATTTGCTGTGTTAAGAATCATGTTAAAGAGTACTTCTATCAACTCCAACCCTGTTTTTCCCAGGTTTTTGAGTGCCATGTAGAATATTTCTGATGGGCCTGGTGCGCTA